ATTAAATTTCGCATCTGTTTCTTTGTTGATTTTAGGCGGTGGTGAATAATCTGGAGGATGCGCACTAGCTGATTGACACGGCGATTTTGACGGCGTTAAAGGAGAGCAAGCCAGTGTACATTAGCATGAGCTGTAACTTGTCGGCCATCCCTCACCCAACGTTTAGTCGCGAGCCTGCTCCATTTTCGCTCTCCCCAAAGTAAGCTACAGTCTCATCCTCCTCTGTTTCAGATCAATTTCTTGTGAATTATTCAAAATTTTAGAATCTTACTTTATTATGCTGATTTTGATTTATTTTTTTTTTCAAATTTCAGAATCTTATTCATTAATTAGGCTGATTTTGATGGTCACCTCCGTATGTTTCTAGACTGAGCAATCATTGGGCCTCGAGGCTGCAGTCGAGGCTGCCATCCAATTCCTCAACAAGGCCGTGAAGCCCGTCCTTGTCGGGGGCCTGCAACTCCGCGAAATTCCTTATGCATTGTTGTCAAGTTATCGAAGCTAGATTTATAAATGCAATAAATAGTGGGTATGTGTATTTTAAAATTGTTCTAAATATTAGTTATAATTATAGACTGGATTAGGGCCGGCTGTGCGTGAGTATAAATTATTTTGAGAAATTTGTTTGAATGTTACAGACAAATGAGTCAAAAGAGTGGTAAAAAAATTGTTGAAAAAAAAATATTTGTGAAAAACATTTTGAACAAACAAAAAAAATATGTGGCATTGTGGTTGCTCCATAAAATGTGGGTAAGTGTGTTTTAAAATTTTACAAATACTAGATATAATTATAGACTGACTAGGGCCGGCTGTGCGTGCACAGCCGGGTCCAATCTAGTATATATATATATGGATTGATTCAAATAAAAACTAGTGCTGGTGTGAGAACCGTGAGAACTATATTTGATGCTATTTATATTTGTGAATGATGCTATTTTTAACACACACGGTGCTATCATTCTCACAAATGTTAATATAAATTATGTTGCTATTTTTAATCAAATATATCTATATTAAAAATAGCGCTAAAACACAATTAATCATAGCACTACATACAACTAAAAATAGTGGTTCTCACGTTTCTCACGCTAAGACTTGGTTCTCATTTGAACCACATCCTATATTATATATATATATATATATATATATATATATTTAATTTTTAACAAATAAATCAATAAACATATTTTGGTTTCTTTCCAATTTCAGTTATCAAATTTTATCATTAATTAATATTTTTTTTTCTCTCCACTTTATTCTACCTTTATCTAAACGTTACAATCTATTATTCAGCTTGTATATGCAATGTAATTTCTCATCTTCTTACATAATTTTGGCCACTTGCGTTATCTCACACACTTAAATATATATTATTTTATTTATTTTTAATTCTTAGTTTGAAATCATATATTAGCAAATTTAATCCAACCGATTTAATTTATAAAAATTTAGTTTTTTACTTTCAAATTTTCCTTTTATGCTACAAAAACTTCTAAAGAAATTATAGTAAGTAATATATTATTGCCAAACACAAATACAAAATCGATTAAATAACAAAAAAAAAAAAAAAAATCTTCAGTTACCTCTACCAATATAAAATGTGCACCTGCGTTATAACAAATATCTCCATTTAACATATAAGAAAAAGTTTGAGGTATTGAGAGTCTGACACGTGTCCCATGCGTTCAAACATAATTGTCCTCCATTTTCAGCTATTTTTTACGGGTGATGCCACTGCTTTGACCTTGAAATTACTGGACTGCCCTTATGCATTACCACTCTTTTTACCACTTTCTTCCACAATTTCTACACACGTTTCCTCAGTAGTTAGAAAGCAGCCGAAAAAATGGCTTTCCCACGTCCTCTCTTTCTCCTCATTTCCCCTTCTCTCTTCAGTCCAAATCTACTTCTCACCCAGGTTAACACGCAAATGGATTATTGTATCTCCATCCACGGTCCATCTGTCCTCTTATCCACCAAAATCCTCATCCATTCATCAATGGCGACAACCCACAAATAGATTGTCTCCTCCGCTCCGGCGAACACCCGTAGCCGCAAGTGTCCTCCACCGACAGCGCAATTGAACGACTGAGCAAACATCGACCCAATTTTCCCCTCTCTCCTCTCGGCAAACCCTAGCTGGAAGAAAAGAAACTGAGGAAAAAAAAAGAAATCGCCGTGACCTGTCAGCAGCCGTGCCGACCAGAGGCGCTGCGAGCCAAAGAGGAAGAATCTTACCCAACAATTCGAAGGTCAGGATAATCAATTCGCCGAGGTTTTTTAAGATTTCAGTTAACATTATTTAATGTTAACTTAACATGATGGAGATAACTCACAGCAGGCACCCCGGATTCCGACTCAATAGCTTTCGACTTTTTTTTTTCAGCTTTCGCAGCCCGGAGTTGAAGGTAAAGCACTTTTATCTATTTTTTCCTTTTCCAATTTTATTACCCATCTGAGGTTCTTTTCTGATCGCAGATTTTGCCCTGGTTTAGTCTTTTTTATTTTTATTTTTTTTTCTGGAATTCATTTTTTGAAAAAAAAAAAGGAAGCGATGGATGGTTGGCTGCAACAAAAACAGGTATACATATCGTTGTTTTAGTCATACACATCCTGTAATTTTGCTATTTGAGCATTTCATCGGTTTTCTCGAATTAAATTGTTTTAGTGTTTGCTGTTAGTATGTTACCATATAGTTTCTCGGTATGATTCCATACAAAGTCCGTCACTGCTGATCATTTGGCTTTCATGTGGTAATTGAGCAGGCAAGAGATATCTCAAGATGGGCGTAAACATCGAGTAACCGTCTTCTTCACTGTCACTGCTGACCATTTGGCTTTCATGTGGTAATTGAGCAGGCAAGAGATATCTCAAGATGGGCGTGAACATCGAGTAACCGTCTTCTTCACTGCGCGGTGGTGTCGAACTTGAACAAGTTGTTGGTGACCTTGAACTCTAGCAAGACAGTGCGAAGGCAATTTGAGCAGTAAAGACTGAGTGACTGTGTGAAGAGCACGATAGACAGGTCGAAGTCTGTGTGTGGTGGTTCAATTTTGTCCTAGATTTACCTTGAGGTGTGTTATATCAGCTAAGTATTGATTTTTTGTGTTATTACAATAGATTTGATTTACTGTGATGGTTGGTTCATGTTTAGGATGACAATATTTACAGCTATTCCCCTGCATTCAATTATTATTATTTTTTCGCAATTTTTTTGGCCGAAGTTCTTTTTCCACAATTCTCGCAGGTCAAAGATTGAGCAGATCTCTTCTTCCTTTTTTCACAGAATTCTTGCACAAGTAGACAAGACACGATCAGGTAAACACACCCCCTTCACAAACCTGTACCCAAGCAATCAGTCTCATTCTCAACTCTCAAAAGGGTTCAACAACTCACATATTTCATGGGATTGAGGATGCACACACGAGGACCAAGTCGTCGAGAAAGTCTAATCCGGCGAACGAAGGTGTGAAGAAGCATACTGGTGCTCCGTTCGTCGGCAAGCTCGACGCCCTCCTCAAGTGCAGCTTGGGAGAGCCATACGTCGCCGTTTTGGGAGCGAGAGGGCGCCGTGAGATGAGCTACAGAAGCAGAGTCAACGTCAATCTTAGATCACCATTGTTGGCTCCAAGGTTTATCCTATCGAGACCCTCAATCACTAATGCGACTTACCTTAATTAAGATTCTACTTTTTTCTCGCTGCTTTGGTCTCTTGGTTTAGCTCGATTATATGTTGGGAAAATGTGTGCTTTAAATAATTGATGTCAGCTTCGGATTGATTTTCTAATTTCCTCACCATAATTTTGATTCATTACGTAGTCGCGATTTTTTAAATAAAATTTTACGTGATTTAGCTAGGTTACTTCTGGTGGTGTAACTTGGCCCAGGTTTCACATATCTTATTCATGTATAAGATTTTGTGGGAAATTTTGTAAAATTTGGTTCACATCCTGGAATAGCCAACTGTTAATGTATCTCTTGTTGTAAGAGTTTACAGGATTCATGTTGCTATATTTTGTGGTTGTGTTCCATCCTAAACATAATTGGAGTAGTAAGATGAAAGCTGATTTTTCTTGGATCATGTCTCTGCTTTTGCAGGATACTTCAAATGAACTCATTAAGCAGGACTGGATATCTCAAAACAAGATCCAGATTTTTCAGTATATATTTGTAAATGGACACTGATTCTTCTCATTGGACTACTCACGGGCCTTGTTGGCTTCCTCAATAATCTCGGGGTGCAAAATATTGCTGGTTTCAAGCTTTTGATTTCGAGCAATTTAATGCTAGAGGATAAATGAGTCCAACTCCGACTAGAGTAAGTATTTTGGGTATCAGATGAACTTTCTGATTGATCACATACGGCTTCTTTGAAAATTTTTGGATGCAAAATTATGATGAAATTATTCATTTTAACAGGTCGGGTCGTGGGTATTCCCTTCTCTCTTACCCCATCTCTCACTTGCATCTTGGAAATCCCTTTTTTTGTATTTTTACTGTACACAATTCGTGACCAGTGGTCTTGCTCTTGCCAGAAATTCAATGGCGCACAGTTGTTCGGAAGCACAAAAAATATTTCATTTATTTTTGTTTCAAGGCAATAAATTTTCATCTCTCAATTTTCTCCATGTACTGTGTAGGGACGGCGGCCTATTCCGCTTCTTGTTGCCTCTTTCGCCTGCACCTCCTGGCATCTGTGTCGTCGAAGTCTTAAATTTCGATCTCACCAATCCGGATCATGGAGCTATGACCCATGAGGTTTGTGGTCGGAAAAGTCGAATCATACTTTTCTTTTTTGTCTGATTATTTTGGTCCTAATGTTGTTCCTTTGTTTTGGTTCATTAAGCAAGCACTTTTACCATATGTTGCCCACAGAATCGGGTTATATTTGAATCACTTTCTGCTGCTCGGGCATAAGTAACTCTTTCTGAAGGACAACTCTGACCCAAACACATATGCATCGACCTTAGAGGTATTCTATGGACGTAAAATGTGTTATCTCTTTTGTTTCTGTAATGTGATTATTCAAAGCTTTTTCCTTTACATTCAACAGCAAAAAGACAAAGAGGATGCTGACCTATCAGTGCGAGAGAGACAGTTATTCAATTTTCCCATTGCTGTAGGGTGCGTGGAATTTTGTACTTCACCCCAACTGATTGCAAAGACAATTACGGTAAAAATATATATGAATTAAGCCTTACTATTTGATTTAGCTCATTTTTCGAATTTGTAATCTGATTTTAATTACTACGTTTTCCTAATTATATTCATGTTCCAAGAAATTATATCGTTCTAAAGACGTACGTGTCTCGAAAATTGGTATATGTTCGATTTTGTGGTCACGCATTTTGGTTTGGTATAGAATGGGAGTGATGGTAAAAGGCCGAAGGCTATGGAGTCGAGCGAAAACAATATAGAGAATTAGAAAAATTCAGACAAGGGTATCAAGAGACCTTTAAAGCCAACTGAAGGATCTAAGCAAGACTACTCATGTCCGGGCTAGAAGAGGTCAGGCTAGCTACTAATAGCCACAGCTTAGCCGAAAGAGTAATTACGAGACCGAAGTCTCTTTTAATAAATCTTTTGAGCTAATATTATTGGCTGTAAAATAGATGGATAATAATAACCGGACTGAACTTCCGATGCGATTTCTTTTTCGTTCTTATGTTTTGTTCAATTGACCAACTATTCTTACAGGCCCGGAGAGAAAAGATCAGTGAAAGGATGAAGATTCTCCAAGATTCAGTTCCTGGTTGTAATAAAGTGAGAAGCAAACATTTTATTTCTCGGATTGTCGGCAAAGCTCTTGTGCTGGATGAGATTATTAATTATATTCAGTCTTTACAGCGCCAAGTTGAGGTCTCTCTTTCTCTCTAGGTGTTTTTTTGTGTGTAGATGTGTTTGTTTTACGTGAATTATACTAATCACAATCGTCATTTGTCGTAGTTTTTATCGATGAAGCTCGAAGCAGTAAATGCAAGAGAGACCATTGATGGATATCCTTCTAATAAAGACGTACGTGTCTCAGAATTTTATTTACTTCCAACACTTGACCATGTTCCGTGTCTGATAAATTCATAGTTTACTTTTGTGCCTTAGCATGAGAAATTCATAGTTTAATTAGTTTGCTTTGTATAGATTTCTGTATACTTTTTGTTCCTCAGGATTATTCAAAGGATTAATTGTTTATTTTGGTTTATGGCTCGGGATTCAGGGTTAGATGTTATCAATTTGTTGTTTTCTCATTGATTCTTTGACAATTATATGTTTTTCTTATGCAAAACGGGAAAATTTATGTTTGCTCCCTGTTTTTTTATTTTTTTTTATTTTTTAATTAGGGTTTAGAAGAAGAAAGAGCTCAAACTAATGCTCACTTGGTTTACAGATTCGAGCAATGCAGAATGCCAGAAGACCTGGTGTGCTCATTACTGTTGGTTCTGCTTAGGGTTGTACCCAATGTATGGCGACCCTATTTATTATAGAGCCAAAGGTTTGTTGCTTTTTTCTTTTTTTGGTGACTTATGTATTTATTTTGAATCTATAAATATCCGCTAATAGACTGAGTTCAAATTGCTGGCCTCAACAAAGTTAAAGGTGGACTTATCCGGGATGTATAATTTTGTGTATCTGTTAACTTGTGTGTGTAACCGTGCTTCTGTTGTTTCTTTCTGCCTAATGAGAAACCAAATTGCAGAGGGAGTAGTTTTGTTCACCAGATCTCTACCTTTTTGCAAACGTCAAGGAATTTGTATTAATGTTCTTTGCCCTTGAGGTGAACAATGTTCTATTTATATGAACTATGTTCTATTTATATGTTATATTTTTGCTTACAACTCTCACTCACTCGAAGAGATAGCAAGTATTTTTCGAAAAAGTAGATCTCATATGCTTAACAATCTCATGTTAACCAATTTATTTATTTATAGATGGAGACTTTGTTCAGTATTCTGTTTTCATATTTTTAAATGCACCAATTTTAACGAATAACCATTATATGTTTATGTTATTTGTGCCTATGAAATTAGATGAAAGTTTATTTTCATGAGGGTGACCTTGAGAATTGTTATAGCCTCACTTGGAGCTCCCTTAGATTTAAAATCTTGTATACTGTCTTGCAAATCCAAACCATATATTCAGCTATACTATACTGTTGCAAGAAAAGACCATGCACATTTAACAAAATTGTTGTAAATTGCAAAACATCACGCACTTAGGAATTTCAAGCAACACATCCAAAACTGTCTGCTTTGTTTGTTTTTTTTTTTTTTTT